TGAGATGAAAAAACCGCAACCAACTTTAAACTGCTGTCATTTCTAAACCACTCGTCCGACAGCAGTTAAAATTATTCCAGTGACAACTTATTATATTGTTTACAAGCGTACAAAAGCATTTTGGTGAGAATTTTCCAGAAAAAAAATTATTCGTCATGGAATTCAAGCGTGATAGTGTGATTTCTTTATATTGCACTGGAAAACCACAAAAGGCTATCGTTAGAGCACTCTAGCATCTAAATGTAAAGAAATCTTTTGTGTCTCGTACCATCGCTCGTTACCGTGATTCTGGTAGCGTAGCCCGACGTCAAGGAAGTGGACGGAAGAAAACAGCAACATCAGCAGAAATGGTTCGAAAAGTAAAGAAGCGACTTGATCGAAACCCGCGTCGCAGTGGCCGAAAAATGACTCGTGAGCTGAAAATATCACAATATTCAAATCGGCAAATATTGAAAAATAAAGCCATTGAAATTCCAAAAAAGTGCAAGAACATACACCGCAGCAAAAAGAAAATAGATAAAAAAGAGCTAAAGAGTTGCTTTGCTTGGCCGAAAGTGGTGAACTGCCGAATTTGTGAGAAAAAATTCGTTGTCCAGCAGTTTGTAAACAAACAAAATGATCGCGTTTAGTTGCCAAAGAGGTCAGCTGAAAATGTGCACCTTCGGTTGGCCACCAGAACTCAAGCGCCGGCCATGGTGATGGTGTGGGCCGCCATGACAGCCGATGGTCGCTCTCCGCTCGTATTGATCGACCGTGGCATCAGAATAAATGCCGAATATTATTGCAAAAATATACTGGAGGGTGTATTAAAGCCTTGGGCACTCAAACGTTTTGACCGCTGACCTTTTGGCCGCAGACCTTGGACATTGCAACAGGACTCGGCACCATCAGCACGTGCCACCCAAGAATGGTTGCAAAATGAGGTTCCTCGCTTCATTTTCCGCACTCAATGACCCCCAAAATCTCCTGATACAAATCCGTTGGACTATTGTATCTGGAGTATTTTGAAAAGCAAGGTTGACACTAAAAAATACCAAAGTGTCGATCATCTCAAGTAAGCGCTTCACCGGGAATGGGCCAAAATACCGCAAAGCAACATTCGGCCAGAGTAACATTCCGGCCATAATTCGTGCCTAAGGTGAAATTTGGAGTAACATATCAAATCAGTATGAACGTCGCTCTCTCTCTCTCTCTCTCTCTCTCTCTCTCATCTTAACTATGGGAACACTTAATTAATAGCCAAATCGGCTCTACAGAAATCGCTCAAATGTTGATGCTCCCTTATTATGAGGCTTCACATATTTTGAATATTTTTTGGGAGCAGTTAAACCACTTATTGAGAAAACCAAATATTAAATGACAGCTGATTTGGAAACCTGAAACCTTCAAAATAACAAAAGTTGTCGTTATGCCAAAAAGTGTCCCTTAAGAGAATATTTTTATCGAGAAGCTAAGCTACCCACTGTTGTGGATTTATATGTCCTTGTGGTACTCCGGTTCACGAAAAAGGAAGTGATTTACGAAAAAAATCTTCATTCGTTCCGGTTATTTAATGATATGACAAATTTACCCTAACGGATTCTTTGTACATCCCCCCTGCTGTGTCCGTGTAGAGAAATCCTTAAATTCGAATTTCACTTAAAAAGTCTACCCAAGATTTGAAATTAAGCCAATTTAAAAAATATTACATACCAAAAGTTCATCCAAAACATTTGTATAATGGACTAAGTATACACTCACTTAATTGAGTCATATTTTTGGCATTGAAAATATGACTTAATTATCATATCTGTAAGATATTGAAATGTTGCAAGTCATTGTACCCAGCCAAATGGCCACGTTTCATAATTAAATTTTATATTTTTAAAGTACCTTTGACTAGCGGACCCAGATTTCCAACATCTGACGTCATCATTGGTCTAATAACGTAATGTTAGCTGATATTGCACAAGACCACACACATCGATTTGAATCATTTTCGAACTTAGAGAGTCAAATGAATAAACGATCCCATTAAAATAAATAAGTCGTTTGGTAGAACAAAAAATTCCATCGGAATCACCTTTCTTCTATTCGGAATAGTACTTCATCTATCGAAAAAACTGAAGACAGAAAAACCTTATCTGTATGAAATCAATTTCAATTATTCCATCTCAATTGTTGAAAAACTACGAAGTCTTTTAATCTTTATTTCGCATTCAACGTAATCACCGAAATATTAATAAATTATTGGGAGGCAAACGTATTTTTTATTGTTGTGACAAGCTATTATCGATTAAAACCATATAGAGTGGTTAGGTTAATTCATCTTGTTGTCGTGCTGCAGGTCACGAAATAATAAAATATGAAAAATCATTAACAATATAAAATCGGCAAGTCATTGGATCAAACTCAATCTATTAATAATATATTTTGCACCACTTCTTGCCATTTTCATTTTTTTTAAGTATGTAAAAAATCGATGGACTTAAAAACCCTTTCTCAGTTATTATATAAGTGCAATATCCAAGATAATTGTTGTAGAATATGTGCATATCTTCTTCTGTAAGACCTTTGGACCTTCTTATGGAATATTTCCTGATATTTTTCTTTATATTAGTAAATCTCTCACAAGAATTGTTAATTTTCTAACAAGACTATTTTGAAATAAAAATAAAAAAACAATCTGATATCTGAAATTCGCATAATTCCGCTATTAGAACACCAGAAGATTTTCATATAAGCTCTTCCATACTACCCTATCATAGAAGAGTAGAAGTTATAAATGGTAACTCATAGAAAGCCTGAAGTTGTTCTCAATCGAAAGCAGAATATCTTCTTATAGAAAGCCATAATGACTTATTTTAGAAAATCGGAAGGTCTTCTCGTTAAAGGCCAAAAAGTCTTTTAATAGAACACCGGTTATACTCATAAAATACCGAAAATTTCTCATCAAAATCCGAAACGTTTTCTTTTATATAAGTCCGAAATTTACTTCATTAAAAGCCAATAGTGTTCGCATAGGAGACATCAAGGTCTTCTATAAAAGACCGATATGAATTTCCATCGACGACCGCATACACTTCTTTGGAGACCGAATTCTATTTCTATAGAAGACCTAAAGTTCTGTTCATAGAAGTCCGAAAGTGATTTAATAGAAGACCATAAGGTCATCTCAAAGAGGACAGAGATTTCTCCCCATATGTCTCCGAATCTCTTCTCATAGTAATTCGTCTAAAAATTATGCATGCAGTTAGAGTTTAGGGCTGGGCCGAATCATACCAATTTGTAGGTCATCGAACAATATATAGCGGGTAAAAAAAACCATAACTTTTAGGTAACAAAAAATCGAAAATATAAATGTGAATAAATCTTTTGTGTCTCCTACCATCGCAGTTACTGTGACACTGGTAGCGTAGCCCGGAGTCAAAGAAGTGGACGGAAGAAAACAGCAACATCAGCAGGAACGGTTTGAAAATTAAAGAAGCGACTTGATCGAAACCGTCGTCGCAGTGGCCGAAAAATTGCTCGTGAGCTAAACATCGACCGTGGCATCAGAATAAATGCCGAATATTATCGCGAAAATATTCTGGAGGGTGTATTAAAGTCTTGGGCACGCAAACATTTTGGCTGCCGACCTTGGACATTCCAACAAGACTCACCACCATCGCACTCAGCACACGCCCTCCAAAAATGATTACAAAATGAGGTTAATCGCTTTATTTCCAATGCACAATGGCCACCAAAATCTCCGGATACCAATCCGTTGTGACGGTTTAATTGGCCGTTTGAAGGCCATACTTCGTGCCAAAGGTGACCAATTAGAACAAATCTAAACTTATTCTAAAATTTGATGCTGTTTTCGAAATTCTTGCTTTCATTCAATAAAATTAAAAAAAATGTAAAAATTATGGCGTTTGTGAGGGTAACGTCTGGGCAGAGCTCTATGACAATATTTCAAAAACGAAATCTTCCAAAATGGATTTGGACATAAGGAGGATTCCATATTGTAGTGTTGTAGGGTATAACATGCTCGACCCCGCACGCTTGTAGCCTTTGCTTACCTCCCTTTTTTCATAAAAGTAGAAAGTCTTCTCGAAGACCATTTTCATAGAAGTCTCCGAAGTTCTCGTGTACAAGACCAGAAAGACTTCGTGTCTCAATAAACTAAAGAACAACGTCCTGCATTTTTAGGACTATTCTCAGTTTGACGCATCTCTGATTTTGTATAAATTCAAAACAAATATAAATGTTGTTAAAATGCTGTTTTCAAAAATGCCACTTTGAATGCCATCACAAACGATCTATTAATGAAATATTGAATGTTATAACAGAAAAAACGTGACTGACTTACAGACCCACTGAATAATTTCTAATGTCTCGGCTGGAGCGCGCCTTAATTGTTTTGGATTCTATGACATGACAATAAATCAGCGAACTGATGAACGTATCACGTAGCAAAATTTTCTGGAAGATCAACTTTATTTTAAGATTCTTGCAAGTCATTATATTAAATAAATAACGAAATACCCTCTCTATCGCTCTCTCCTACTACCAAAATACTCTCTTAGTTGTTCTTAATTAATTTTTTTTTAAGTTAACCAAAATATGTGGACCTACAATCTTGATTTCAAATTAACCACTGTCTACAGCGTCATCGCCGATTTATTATCAAAATATTGAGTGATATGCCGCCGGAACACAAAAACAAAAAATATTCACAGTCTAGAAGCCAAGTAAAGTGTCTGACACACAATCACACAAACAAATATAAACTGTCCCATGGGAGTAATTTGTTATCTTAGCCCCATGCGTACTTCTGTTAAACCGCCACGCGCGGAATAGTTTTTTAGGTTTGTGACAAGCTACTATTTTTACTTTTCTTCGTTTCCGCTCTCCCCTCCGCTTGGCTGATAAGTTAACAGAGATTAGTGATCGCAATTCCATGCAAAAAACGCTATTCCGTCTGAGTTTTTTGAGACTGGCAGAAAAACCTGGCGATTTTATAAAATCTTCTTCATTAACCAGTTAGACATTGAATAGTGCGGACAAGCTTAGAGTAAAAGTATTTGAAGTAAAAAAAAAATGATAATAAAAAACGAAGAAACAATTGTTGTGCCGGAACACTTGAACGAAGAGTTCTTCGTGAATGCTCTCGAAGAAGGTTTGCGCGAAACGAAAATTGTCATACATGAAGTGAACTTCGCCTGGGGCAGTAATCCTGGGGATAATTATTGTTCAAGTATTTATCGCGTGGTCATTACCTATGACAGTTATGGAGAGAATCCCCAGAAAAATGAGAAAATCTCATTAATTGTGAAGACCATTCCCATTTCGACGGAAACACAATTTCTCGAAGACGTTGGTGTGTTTGTGAAGGAAAAATTAACATATACCGATGTATTGCCACGATTGGCAATTTTGACTGAATCGGATGTGTTTGGTGCAAAGTAATGAAAACTTAAGAAGAAAATATTGAAAATGTATTTTTAATCGAAAAAAAAAAAATGATTTGTGTAATTTTAGATGTTTCTATGCCACCAAAAGTCCCATGCAAACAATTGTTTTCAATGATTTAACTGTGGAGGGTTTCAAAGTTGCCTCCCGCCAGGATGGTTTGGATTGGAATCATACGACTTTGATTTTGGAAAAATTGGCTAAATTCCATGCCACCTCCATGGTTTTACTCAAAAAGGTGAATACAGGAAATATTCAACAAAAACACAATATTTTAAATATTTGATTTTTTGTTCTTCTCAAGGATCCCGCCATCGCCAAACGTTTCCAACGTGGTATGCTGTGCGAAGAAACCGTGCTGAAAACTGAAACATTTTTCAACATGTTTGGTGGTTATTTGAATCAATTGATTAAAACTGCCTCAACTTGGTCGGGCTTTGAAGAGATTACTGCAAAATTACAAAAATATTATAGCGATTTCAAAAACATCAGTTATAAGTTGGGTAAAGCCAAACAAGGAGATCGCATTGTCGTACTCAATCACGGTGATTTGTGGACCAATAACTTTATGTTCGGCTATGAGGATGATAATCAGCCACAAAAACCAACTAAGGCATTATTTGTAAGTATCGAAATTACGCTTAGTTATCGTTATATTCCTATACAAGTTCAAAATTGGTCTATAAACATTTTTTTAACAATATTCTTTAAAAAGTCCAGCATTTGTCCTTTAAAATATTGATAAAAAAGTCAAAAAAGTTTCAATAAAAAATTCAAAAACATCATATAAATCAAATATTGGTTTTAAAAAAATGTTTTTAGAAATTCTTAAGATGTTCAGTGTTGGTCTTATAAAATAGTCGCAAAAATGTCCAGAATTTATTTTAAAAAATATTAAATGTGTCTAAACTTATTCTTCTATAAATCTTCCCTTATAAGACTTTTAAGAATATTCCATGATATTGTGCAAATATTCTTAAAAAAATTTAGTATTAGTCCTTTAACAATATTTAAAACAAAATTTAAAAAATTCAAAATTGGTACTTAAATTCTATTAAAAAAATATATATTTTTGCTAAAAAATCAAAAATTCTTACTATAAAATATTTTAAAAACATTCATAAAAATTCTTAATTTATCCAGTGTAGGTCATTTTAAAATATTCCATAAATTTGTGAAAATTTTATAATTTTTTAATAGTTTAAAATAGAAACATTTAAACTAAACAAGAACGAATATAATTTAAAAGTCAGGGAATATTTCTTCGAAAATATTTTTAAAATATTCCCAAAGAAGATAGAATGTATTTAAAAAAAGAATCATTGAACGGCAACTCAAAAATAATTATAAAAGTTCTTCGATTGATTCTTAAAAAATTGGACCCTAAGAAATATCAATAACTTCTTGAAATCATCCTTAAAAAAAATGGACCTTATAAAATATTTAAAAAAAACTTCACGATTAAACTAAAGGTTCTTTAAATAAAATCTAAAAAAAATCGCTATGTATATATTGCTGATCCTTCTTGCCAATTGTCCTTCAAAAAATATATTCAAAGCATTACAACGAATGTAAGTCCACGATTCTTAAAAAAATCCACGACTTATAAAAATTCTTAAAACAATCCTCTAACTTAAAATTAATTATAAAAAGTCACCAATTATATAAAAGTCACTTAAAATATTTTTTAAAATGCCTACAATTGGACAATAAGAACTATTTTCCATAATAGATCCTTAAAAACATTCTCAAAAAAAAAAACTGGAACTTGAACAACTGCCGTTTATAAAAAATGCTCTTAAAAGAGGCCTAAATTGATCCCAAAGAAAATATTTCTTTAAGAAGTCCTAAATTGGTCCCTAAAATTATTTTAAAAAAGTTTTCGATCGACTTTTGAAATAATTCTTAATAAAGCAACAACAACAGGTTCTTAAAACTATTTATATATATATATCCACGATAGGTTCTTTCAATATAATCTCAAAAAAGTCCAAGATCTATCCTTGAATATAATCTTAAAATATCCTCGATCGATCCTTAGAAATATTTCTAAAAAAGCCTGCGATCGATAAAAAAAAGTCTTAAAAAAACCACGGTTTTTTTTAAAAATGATACTTCTAAATATCTAAAAATAATATCCTGTAAAATATTGCTGAAAAATATTTTTTTTTTAATATCCACAGACAAGGACTTTAAGTCCTTTACACACATTTTTAAATGTTCATGAATAATGTCCTTATGGGCTGTAAAAACATTTTAAAAAATTTAATGTTAATAGTCCTTCAACAAAAAATTCATGTGTCTTTGTTTTTTTTTTAACAAATAGTAACCATTCAAAAAATACTTTTGAAAATCCGCACGCCGTTTCAAATACTTTTAGAAATCCACAAATATTGTTCTTATAGTTCTTTAAAAATATATTTAAACATATCCGAGATTGGTTCTTAAAAAAATAATCTCAAAAACGTCCAAGATCTATTCTGGAGCATCTTAAAATGTTCTCGATCGATAAGCCTACGATTAATACTAAAAATATTCTCAAAAAACGTCGTTTTTTTAATCTTAATAAAATCTACGAATATTATCGTGGTACTCCTTCAAAATATATTTTTAAAAATCCACGAATAATATCCTAATAGTCCTTAAAGTGATATTCCTGAATATGTAAAAATAATATGCTAGTTGTACTTAAAAAATATTTTTTTTAATTCTCAAATAATGCCCTATTTAGTCTGTTATATTCATTTTTAAATAATTCATGAATTTTGTCCTTGTAGTCTGTAAAAAAAATCTCAAAAATTCCAATATTAATAATCCTTAAAAAATTATTCCAATAGTATTTACCAAATAGTACTAACCATTCAAAAAATTATTTTGAAAACCCACAAATAATGGTCCCGCAAAATTAATATCCTTTGAGTCCTTTAAAATATTTTCAGAAATCTACAAAAAATAATGTGTATAGTCTTTCAAAAATATTTTTTTACATCCAAAAATAAGTCCCACGAAACATGTTAAAAACATTTGAAAATGATCCTCGATAGACCTTCATGAAACATTACAAAAATTATTTTTTTATCCCTGCATTTGTAGTCCTTGGAAATATTTGTAGAAGTTCGGGAATAATGAACTTAAGTTCTTCCAATATAATCTTAAGAAATTCACGAAAAATAACATTTTTTGTACCCTCCACCATACCATGAAGGGTATATTAATTTCGTCATTCGGTTTGTAACTCCTCGAAATACACATACCAGACCCAACAACGTTTATATATTCCTGATCAGCCACTCTGTTTGTTTTAATCACGCTATATTTCGAACGAAGCCTAAAATTTTGCATACATGTGTATTTTCTAAGTAGGCAGGTTATGTTCGAAAATGGGTCATGTCGGCCCACGTTTTTTCATAGCCCACATATAACGGTACCTCTCAATATTATGTATTTTGATCATTTTACCAACATCATGGATCAGAATTGTTTCAAATTATGTGTTGGATGATCTTAATGGGTACTACAACCTATCACAACAATATTACTTATGCAGGTCCACGACCTCGTATATCCCCTACATAAAGATGCCTCCCAATATTCGGTATTTCTCTGATTTTAGAGACATTATAGACCGGAATTGTTTCGAATTTGATATTTAAGGCTCGTAATGGGTACGACAGCCTATGATAAAAATATATGCAGGACCACGTCTTCGTTTAGGCCCCACATAACGGTTCCTCCCATGATTCGTTATTTTGATAATTTTATCGACATTTTTCACAGTAATTAAGTAATAGCGTATTTTAAGGTGGATATCTCAACCTATGACAGAAAATTGAATATGCATATAACGGTACTTCCACGGATATTAGCGATATTATTCAAAGGAAATGTTTTAAGACAAAAAATTGCGTATGCAGGTCCTCGTCTTCGTATAGCCCCCATGTAACGATATTCATATAGACGGTATTTTCAGAATTTTTTTAGCATATTACAAGTTCCTTCCAAATAGTGGAGGGAATTAAAATTTCGGCCCGGGCGAACTTAGCTGTTTTTTTACTTTTCTAATTCAAAAATATTTAAAAAGCTTAACGGTTAAAGTACTAATAGTCCTTAGAAATTAATTTGCAAAAATCCACGATTAATGTTCTGAAAGTTTATAAAAAATATTATTAAAAATCCGCAAATAATATCCAAAATAATCCTTCATATATATTCTTTAAATGCCTATGACATTATGACTCCCTCGGTTCTCGTAAAAAATTCTTTCTTGAATTAATATTTGATTATAGTTCTGTGTAGAGTATTAAACTTAGCCCTCTATTAAATGTCCAATATATTAGTTTTATATTCATTAATAAATATATAATCAAAATATCCATGTTTGGTTGTTCAAACGAAGATTATTGATAAGCCTGCCTTTTAAATCAATTCTTCAAAATCCATAATTAAAGTCTTATTACTCTTTCAAATAATATTCTTAAATTACTTTAACGTTATTTTTCTTTTCCGCAGGTTGATTTCCAGCTCAGCTTCTACGGCAGTCCTGCTTGCGATTTGAACTTCTTCTTGAACACCAGTGTCCAATTTGATATTCTCACAACGAAGCGTGACGAGCTAATTGAAACCTACTACAAAACATTTGCCGAAACACTGGAATATGCCCGCTATGAATCCATACCCACTTTGGATGATCTCAAATATGAATTGCGCTCGAGAGAATTGTATGGCCTATTCGCTCTATTTGGTTTCTTGCCCATGGTTACAATTCCAAAAGAATTATCCAACGATGCCAGCATTGAAGCCTTTGCCAATGAAGATTATGCCGCCAAGAAATTGGCTCAAATATTTGCCCAAGAAAAGTTGCAGAAACAATTGAAATTTGGTTTGCAACGTTTGGAGAAATTGGGAGTACTCGATGAATTTTAGATTTAGTTACTCGTATTTGGGTCCGAATGTGATAAGCAATGCACGTTGTGTACGGGTACATACAAAAAATATGGTTTTTAGTTAAAATGGAGGAGAAGCTGTTAATGTGAAAACAGGATTATTCATACGGAAAATGCTGTGAGATGTTGATGATCTTTTCATGAGTGTTTTTTAGTACAAATATTTGTATCAAGGTTTAGATTTAGTAAAATAAATAAATAAATAAGTTAATAAAAAATATTTTTTTTTATATTTTTTATTTAATTTTCTATGTTAATGTTGTTGATACGAAAATGACACTTTGGACTTAAAAATACTTAAAATCTGGTTATGTTGTTACAGGGAAGTGGCCAAAATATATATCAAGATTGTATGATTTTACTGTCTGGAATACCAAATTACAGCCGATTTGGTTATCAATTGTAAATTTCAAAATATTTAAATTCAGAAACGTTATTCCGATCAGGTTAATTTTCGTCGTATCAAACTACGTTTATTCTTGGAACTCATTAGGTTGATGTTGTAAAATGGAAATATGGTAAAATATATAAACGAGTAGTGAAATAACTATCTGACTGACTAAGAAGCTACGCCCAGACGAAATGGCTAGCTAGCATCTTGAAATTTTGCACAAGGATCAGTCTTGGTGTGTAGGCGTGTGATAAGCCTGGGTTGTTGGAAATTCGTAGTAAAAGGGTACGAAAAGTAAATTTGGAATGAGAGGCATTGATGAAGTGCAGGATAGATGCACCAAGGTGTTTTTGGAAATTCGAACTTTTAGGTTACGAAAAGTTCTAAAAATGTACTAAACTTCTTAAATAGTACTTTTTGGTGTTACGTGGACGGATGGAACCAAAAAAAAAAAAAAAAAAAAACGTTGGTACGAGAATCCAGTTTGGAAAGTAAGTTTGATATTTGATGGTGGTTTTGGAAATGTGTTCTAAATGTGCGAACTGTGCTAAATGGTACCAAATTAGGAGCAGTTTGGTTTAGGGTGAACGTATTAAGTTGGAATTTTTGAAATTTTGTATTGAGGTCCCTTTTAATGGTACGTTAGTGATAGAGAGGTAGTTTTGTAAATGTATACTACAAGTGTACGAAAAGTACTAAATAGTATCATATTTGGTACAATTTGATATTGGGTGAATAGATAGTGCTTAAAATCCGAAAATTGGTATTCGGTTCGCCGTTCATGTGTAGCCTTGACATATAGCGGTGGTTACTGCAATGCATATATCTACTTGACCGGCGTAAAATTCTAAGACGATTTAGCCATGTCCGCCCATCCGTCTGCCCATATGTTGTAATCACGCTAGAGTCAAAACGAATTAATATAGGAAGCTAAAATTTTGATTCGAAGATGGGCAATGCCATGATATCGTAATAGCACCCACATAACGGTACCCCCCATAATCGGTATTTCGATAATTTTAGCCACATTTTTCAAAGGAATTGTCTTCAAATCCTCACAAGGAGTTCCTTCTGAGTACTTTACTCACTGGAAGAGAATTTTCTATATAGGTATATAATATCGTATAGCCCCAACACAACACCACCCGCCGATATACACTATTTGGATTATTTTAACGACATTTTTTACCGGAATTGTTTCAAATTTCGTATTAAAAGTTCGTAATATAACGATATCCCCTAATATTCAGTATTTTGATGATTTTAAGAACATTATTCATCGGAATTGTTTTAAATTTCGTATTTGAAGCTCGTAATGGGTTCCACATGTCGGAAAATTGTCTATATAGGTATACGTCTTAATATAACCCACATATAATGGCACCTCCTTTTATTTGGTATTTTGATGATATTAGCGCAATTGTTTCCAGTTTGATGATATTGGAGACATTTTTTACCGGAATTGTTTCAAATGTCGTATTTGAAGCTCGTAATTGTTACTACAGCCTATGACAAAAAATTTATGTGCAGGACCACGTCTTCGTACAGCCCCCATTTAACGGTTTTCCTTAGAGCGGTATTTTTCGACGGAATTTTATGAAAATTTTTCTAGTTCCTTCAAAATTGTGGAGGGTATTTAAAGTTCGGCCCGGTCGAACTTAACTTCTTTTTTACCTGTTAAATCTTGTACTGTGGTCCCTGTTTGGTGGTAGATATGTGATAAAGGGAATATTTTGGAAATGCACGAAAAGTACAAAATATTACCATATTTGGTACAATTTGAATTGGGTGAACAGATAATGCTTAAAATCTAAAAATTTATGTTCGGCTCCCCGTTTATGTGTAGCCTTGACATGTGGTGGTGGTTTCGGAAATATATACTATAATTATACGAAAATTACTGAATGGTACTATATTTGGTATTGACTGAAGGGAAGGAGATAAAATTCTGAAATTTGATATTTAGATTACTAATGGTATCCATATTTGAGATTTTACAGTGTTTTAGAAATCCGGCCTATATTTGTACGAAAAGTACTAAATTTTTTATTGGGTGAAAGAATAGGTCTGGAAACCTGAAATTCGATATTGAGGTCTCTGTTGCTATCTGGAATTGAGATATGGAAGTGATTTTGGAAATGTGTACTATAATTGTACGAAAAGTACTAAATTTTTTACTGACTAAATATAAATATAATAAGCTAAAAACCTGAAATTTGTTATTGAGGTCTCTGTTGGTATCTGGGATTGAGATATGGAGGTGATTTTGGAATTCTGTACTATAGCTGTTTGAGAAGTACTAAGTGCTACTAGATTGGGTGAACGTACAGTTCTGGAATCCTGAAATTTGATATTGGGGTCTCTGCCGGTATCTGGGATTGAGATATAACGGTATAATTGTTTGAAAAGTACTAAGTGATACTAAATTGGGTATTGGGTGAAGAAATAGAGTTAGAACGCCGAAATTTGATATTGAAATCTCGTTTGGTATCTTGAATTGAGATGTGGAGGTCGTTTTGGAAATGTGAAGTATAATTGTACAAGAAATACCAAATGGTACTAAATTTGGTCTTGGTTAAAGGGATAGAGAAAATAATCCGAAATTTGATATTTAGATAAATGTTGGTATCTGAGGTTGCGATTTGGAGGTGGGTTTGAAAATGCCTACTATAGTTGTTTAAAATACGGTAAATTAAAATACATTTGGAAAAGTTTTGCAAATAAGTACTAACCTTGTAAGAAAAGTACTAAATGTTACTAGATATGGTATTGAGTGAATGTGAAGAGCTGGAATCCAGAAATTTGATATTGAGGTCTCCGTTGGTAACTTATGGTGCTTTTGCAAATACGTACTATTATTGTTCAATAAGTACTAAATTGTACCACTTTTAGATCATTATTGGTGTCTAAAATGCTATGAAGAGATGTAGTTTGTTTTGGGTATGCGTACTAAATGTTATTAAATTTAGAATAGGGTGAAGGAATAAATCTGCAATTTTATATACAGGTCTCTGTTGATTTCTAGGGTTTACATATGAAGACCTTGAAATTAATTGGGGTAAAAAATTGATGTAGGTCCATTGTGCAATGGTTTTATTAATATTCCCCTCGCGTAAATTTAAAAATGAAAGATTTTGAAGACTTTTTGGTGGAAAAGGTTTCTATAATTCTTTCCGTAAAAGAAAGAATTTGAATAAAATGTAGAACCTTGAAAGTCTGAAAATGTTGCAAAATAATGTCAAATTGAATAAAATGTGCTTTTTTGGGTACTAAAAACGGTAAATTTTAGGATGGATTTTTCGCAGACGAAGTAGCAGGCACTTGTTAGTTAAACGCAAAATATTTGCTCGCTACGATATCGCTTCGGCACACTTCTTCCCATTTTTATGTTGATTTTATGTACACATGTAAATTAGCTGTCTGCGATATTAACTCGAGCCCATAATCATTAATGTATACAAATCTGTTTGACGGCATTTGGCTAATCGAAGGCATTTACATGAACCCATCCACAGACTATCAAAATTCTATTCAAGTCAGCAGTTATTATAACTGTACAAAAAAAAGCGAAGAGATAATTCGAATTAATTAGAATATAATTATGTCGATATTTCGGCACTCGCCCATACTGAAAATGTTTAAGGGTGTGTTTGTTTGTTAACAGCCAACCGGCCTAAAGCAAGCCACAAATGAATCACTTCATTAACCTGTGCAAACATTTTCGGGAGATGACATTGAGTTAGCCACCTCTCTTTATGGTTTATTTTGACCAAAAATTTTATCTTGGCCTATCGTAGTTTACTCGTGGCAGAAATGACGATGACAGCGGCCAAATTAGCAATCAATCTCCTCTCATTTGTGTGTCAAACCACTCGGCGTAAGGCATAGTGTTTGCTATCTGTGACGTGGTGTTGGTGCATATACGTTGATATATGTTAATTTTTAACCATAAATAAATGGACCAACATCTTTTCCGAGACATGTTAATGAAATTTGGTTTTGCCATATATTTGGAATATTTTTTAATACTATAATTTAAATAATATCATACAACGCAAAAATACCAAATTGATGCTTTTAATTTGAAAATAAAATAGAAAGAGGTAAAAATGTGTTAAGCTTCAATGATTATACATCCACCAGCATAACGTTAAGAAAGCCTTTTTTAATAAAAATATCAGGATTGAATATTGTGTCCACTTCTATTTTTTAAGGTAAGAAGAAAGGGAAAAAGACTAAAAATAAAGCTAGTTTGAGAGTACGAATTTCCTGCTACGGTGCTTCTATCGATGTCGATTTTTAAAAACATATATTTAAATAATTCTCTTATAAAACGTGGCTAAAATCAACAATTCCTAGGTACCGTTAAAAACCACGGCAGCCACAGAAGACAGAATCCATTACAAACTCTACATGCCGAATATAAAACTATTACACTGAAAATCATCAGAATATGGGGGCTATAAGAATACAATGATCTGCAAAAAAACCTATTGCGAATTGTAAGTAAAACAAATAAAAAATTAAACCGGGCCGGGCCGAACTATAAATAACTTTCACTATTTGAAAGGAACTTAAACAAATTTAAAAACATTTCGTCGAAAAAAAAAACATTTAAATGAAAACCGTTATATGGGGGCTATGCAAAGATGAAGACCTGCAAACGCAATTTTTTGTCATAGGCAAACTTAAAAAAAGTAACTTAAAATAATTACGTTGAATAATGTTGCTAAAAATTCCGGTGAATAACTTCGTTAAGATCATAAAAATACCGAATATGGGGAGGTATCGTTATAAGATGGCCATACGAACGCGTGGACCTGCATAAG